GTCAAAACTCAAAAATTATAAAGGTAGAGTTAACATTCTTGTGCACAACATTCCTCCTTAATAAGATATATCCACCTATGAAGTTTCATATTGACATTTTCAAAAGCTTTTTTTAGAGATATGCTCCAACTCAGGTGAAAAAATTTAGTGTGAAAAATAAAAAAAGGGCAATAACTCAAAAATTATGAAGGGTAGAGTTATCACCCTTATGCACTGAACACCTCCTGAGTGAGATCTATCTATATATATGAAGTTTCATGTTGATATCTCAAAGGCTTTTGTAGTTATACTCTGGACAAAAATTTAGTATGAAAAATGACAAAGGGCAATAACTGAAAATAATGCACGCTCGGGTTATCACTCTTGTGTGCAGCACTCCTCCTCAATGAGGTCTATCCACCTATGAAGTTTCAAGGTGTTACTTCTAACACTTTATGAGATATGCTCCACTCAGGTGAAAAATTTAGTATGAAAAATAACAAAGGGCAATAGCTCAAAAAATACATGTATGAAGGGTAGAGTTATCACCTCCTGAGTGAGATCTACCTCTACACATTTTGAGATATGCTCCGGACAAAAAAGTATGAAAAAAATAACAAATGTTCAATAACTAAAAAATTATAATCAGTACAGTTGTTATCATTCTTTCGCACAACATTCCTCCTCAATAAGATCAATCCACCGATGAAGTTCATGGGTTGACATCTCAAAGATTTTTTTTTAGTTATGCTCCACTCAGGTGGAAAATAAAGTAATGCAAAATTACAAAGGGCAATTACTCAAAACTATGAAGGGTTAGAGTTATCACTTTTTTGCACTGCACACCTCCTGAGTGAGATCTATCCATCTTAAAGGCTTTTTGAGTTATGCTCTGGACAAAAAATTGAGTTTGAAAAATAACAAAGGGCAATAAACTGAAAAATTATGTAGGGTAGAATCATCATTGTTGTGCACTGCACTTCTCCTAAATATGATTTTATCCACCTATGAAGTTTCAAAAGTTGATACCTCAAATACTTTTTAAGATATGGTCCGGAACTAAAATGAGGACGGAAGGACAGACTGAAGGAAGGATACGGCGGACGGACAGAGACTAATTTTATATCCCCAACCGCCTTTTCGGCGGGGGGATAATTAAACATTTTTCCAGCTTATAGCTAAAGGAAACTCAGAATTTTGCTCACAATAATGAGACATGAATTCTGAATGAAGTTCAGAAGACTTTGTTAAAAGACTGATTTACGGACCAAATTAAGTTATTGTACAAACCTGGTATGGTAAATGCTTACTGTGAAACGCATATGGAAAACGAAGTCTCATTTTAGGGAAAAATGTTTTATTGCGCAAGAAAATGAAATTATTCAAAAAAAAAGACAACAAGAAAAGCATTGATGCAAAGCATCAAAGGGCGACGCCAAAAGAATTTGACCTAAATACTTAAAAAAAAGATGTGTACTTTATAGCTGTACCATTTCATGTGACCTGGAGGCTAGGCCCAGTTTAAGTTGAAACTTAAACCAAAAATAATAGACACTGTCTTGCGCAAGATGCAAAGACAATTTTTTTAGTCCAATTAACCAATCCTTAAGATTCATTTTACCAGATACAAGGATACCAAGCTGAGTCATCATCATATAATCACATGCATGAGTATCGAACCTGGGAAGAAAAATCTTATCATATTTTTTCTTCCCAGGTCTGATACTTGTACCTGTGCATATAATAAAGCTTAGTATGCTTAGGGTTGCAGACATGTCATTGACATATTTTAGACATAAAAGAGGACCTAAAAATGAACATCAGGGGGACACCATAAGGTACTCAGAGCAGAAGTAGAAGGAGTACCAGCCACATCAACCAGCTGCTATCAGAGATAAAAACTTGAACCATGTAAGAATGTCATTACATATGGCAGATGCTTGAAGTTTCCATTAAGAAGAAGAAAAAGAACTTCTTCACGTGCAGTATAGTGTGATCAACTGTATCAAATGCTTTTGTAGATCTAACAGTATCATGCAAATTACTGCCTTTGTCCATTTCAAATTAAATGCACTTTATTAAATGAATAAAACATGTGCCAGTCGCAAACCCACTTCTAAACCCTGACTGAAACTGCCTGACCATGACTCGAACACATGACTTTCAGAAGACCAACTGAGCTATCTGGCCGGCTACACATTTTCTCTTAAATAATGAAACAGTTCTAAACCACAACATATTTCTCCACTATATTGATTAATGTCCTTGAATTTCTGATGTTAACAGAGCATAGTGAATTAAACTCATGGTTAATTGCAGTCACAGGATGATAAAAACTTTCAGCTTCACCATAACTCAAACCTGTGACCCACAGAATAATGTACTGAGCTATCTGGCCACTTACACATTTTCTCCCCTAAATAGTGAACAGTTCTAAACCATGACAGATATTTAGATTTTCAAATTAACAGATAAATAATTCTTAATTAATAAATAAGAAAAAAAAACCCTTACATTATTATTGACTCATATAGTCTTAATTAAGATAACAATTTATATACCATTGTATAATTATTTTTACTAAAAAGGGCTTAGACAGTTATTGGTTGTGCCATTATTTATAACAGGTCAATTTAAAAGTGAACATAACTGTGCTAATTCATGTACAATATCTATTTTTTGTACAGATAAAAAACTAACCTTTTTTCTATGATAAGAAATTTTATGAAGACTGATTTGTATTTTGCATCATTGAGGGCACCGGGCGAAAACATGAAAATTATGCAACCAACGAACCACTTCGTGGTAGATTGTATTTTCATGTTTTCATCTGGCGTCTGGTTACTTTATGTACTTTGTTGGTTTTCATGTGGCACATTAAATCACCCACTATAAATTTAGTGTACAAATTTATTCAAGGGCAAGTAACAATCTACTCTATGAAAAGTATGTTGTCGGGTTGACTCAGGAGACCTGGAGATTGAGACCGATGTCCCTCCATTACAAATAGATAAGGCAGAAGCTGTCCATTTCAAACTATGCACATGTTAGAAAAAAAAATAGAATGTAACTATTCAGAATATGATTTGTTTTGAGACTTTATCAATTATATTGCTGGATCCAAGATTCAGGACATTTTCAAACAATGCATGTATTATCATTTATAACTTTAAATGAAAGTCTCATCCCTTTAATAATAATGACATAACTGTAACTCTTTAAATTCAGAAATATTATAAATCTCATCATATCAATATACTAAGATATACATGTATGCACATAACATTAATAATTCCCAGTTTCTATTAAATAAATATGAAATCCTAACATTAACATTGGTACTAATGGATGGAATTCAAAATCTAGTAGAAAGAAAACTATAATATATAAACTCTGTTATAGATACTATTATTAGCCAGCTAACACTGGGTATAAACATCTTTAACCTGTAGACTGATCATGTATTATCATTCATAAATTTAAATGCAAGTCTCATCCATCATAACTGTAAGTCTTTAAATACAGAAATACACATTATATCCATATACTATGATACACTTGTATGAACATTACATAAATAATTCTCAGGTTCCATTAAAAATAAATATAACATCCTATTAACATTGGTGTTTGGGTGGAATTCATAATATTGTAGAAAGAAAACTATAATGTACATGATATTGTATAGTATAAAAGTAAAAAAAAATCTCAATAAAAATTATATAATAAAGATTATTAGTTGTGTGAGTTTCTAAACATTAAATGCATATCTCTTACAGTAACAAATACTGTCCCTCATTAGACTTTACTATAAAACTAACTGTATATATATCAAGTGTTTAAAATGTAAGCACCCATATGTATAGCTTAAATATTCTACCTTTTCATTTTTACCAAAGGTTATTTTATGAGCAATTTACATACAAACACATAGAAAATAATAATTTCACATATTGATTAGAATATTCCTCTAGCAGAATACCTATAGTATATGTGCTAAATGAACAAACTAGAAAAATCTGGTCTAAGGTATATAAAGCCAGTAAAAAAATATATATCAATATTCACTCATCATGGCCTCTATGCTTTTTATTAATACCTTACAGCTGGTAAATTTATGAAACAAAAATAGTAAGTAATACCTAACTTCAACCTAAGATAGACAGAAAAGAACAGATAATTTAGTTAACATGAGTTACTTCCCCTTAAAATAGAGAAAATCTGAAACCCAAAAGAACACCCCAAACATCAAAATTAAGAAATGTTGCAGGCTCAGTTTTATTAAGCCATGCAAATTCATGGTAAAGTATTCATAAAAAAAATAGATGGCCATGTTACAGCAGTTTTTGCAGAAAATCGGATAGCTTTCAACATCCGGATACTGGTACACCTTGTAAAAACAACCATTCTGTGCAACAGATAAACGTAATATATAAAATTAATAGGATAATCGTTTATAACAGTCCATTACCTATCCTTATACTAATTGGCAGGTGAACTTTCTTCTTGTAGGAAAATTTTGAAAATATAAATGAATGAACGAATGGATACATGTACGGCATCAATGTAGACCACAACGATATTCGAAATCCGGGTTTTAGTATTCAAACTTCTCAAGTGTGTCGAAAGGATTTGCGAAATTGTGTAAATATATCACGCTGATATTTCACGTGTTGATAAAAATACTGTAATGTATATGATTTGAAAGGAAAATGTTTCTATGTAACTTTTCACGGAAATGGGCTGTACAATGATTGCGTAAAAAGCCAATAAAATGTCGGCTGTAGAAATCGAAAGGAATTTTGTCACGTGACTTTTGCCCATGCTACCGAAAACTACCCATCACAATATCACGGCGTTGAGACGCCGTGAAATAAAAAGTTCTGTTGACTACTGTTTGGACCAATGAGATTGCAGCTATATTTAGATCATATAATAATAATAAAAACACAAGAATTACCAGTTTCTCTATTACAATCATCATTACACGTTGAACTGCATCGTAATCCACACATGAAACCATGACGTCCTGGTTTACAACCATGATTGCAATAACCATCCTCTTGCCTACAGGTCGGCTCAGTGCTACCAGGTACAACTAAACACCAGAAGTTACATGATGAACATTGATTAGCTGACAGATAGAAGTTGCTTTAACTTTTTTTTTGCATTCAATTCCGCTGCAAAAAGAAAATGATAATTTGTTTTATTTCTTACTAAGCTACTTATATCTTTTTATAATTAAGAAATTAAAATCTAAAGCTATGTAATGAAATGAATCTAGTCGAACAAGTACAGGAAATATACATGTTTGAGGTCTAGGTTTACGATTTAATTAGATATTTATATAAATATATAAAATTAACACAGTAAATTGACATTCACAGGGTAATTTGATATTTTAACATCGAATTTCATTTTCACAATAAATCGAAATTCTGGGATAACTTTATTCAAATGTGAGAACATAACAACGAGAAAAGAAAAGCAATATTTGTAAACAAACCATAATAAATGTGTAAATACATAATGATTAGCAATATTATGACAATGTATATGATTTTTGGGGGGAAATTCAGTTGTAAATCCATTGGGGTCGGGCGTTGGGTGGGGAAAATTTTGTTTTTTCTTGTAGATGTTTAAAAGATATACACATTAATTTTGACTGACTGCTGCTACTTACTTAACTTTTCTTCCCAAAAAAAAAACTGCAAAATTATGTTGTGACTTGTAAATTATAAAGAATACTAAAATATCTCAAAATGACAATAGGAAGTTCAGTTCAAAATTTGAAGCAGGGCATGTTCATTATAATACCGCAGTAATAGGATAAAGGTAACACTGTATTTTATGATATATAAAATTAATAAATTAATCAGTTTGTTTACAAGGAATCGATACTGACTACTAGCGTCAAGTGTATATAATGTGTAAATCGTGTACTTCTTTCATTTACATAGAATGTTTAATTAAAGGAGATTTGATAACAGTTAATATACATGTAACATGAAAAGTTATAGATAAGTCCAGGGTGGTCATTCATTTTTTTCATCGTACAATGGTTTGCATCATACCTTAAAATGGAAATGTATGTCTTATATGTTTCGTTATCATGCAGATTGAGACTTTAATATTGCATATAAACTTAATTCATGTACTAAATTATTCAGGGCATTTGAAATAATTTGTAATAGTTCCCATTATGGACGATTTGACACTCATAGTATGCCCCTCCAACGGTAAATGAACAGGTGAAGTAAATAAAAATCCTTTCAAACCATTTTTAATGAACAATAAATACCTCACATTGCCTAATGTAATTTCTATTGATGACCATTGGAATTTACCTGTAATGTATCAACTGTTGGTCATTATAACAGTCAATCTTTTGAAATATATAGTTCTATATATAGAAATGAATTTGACAATGAAAAATTGAGCGTAATGTCACATTAAGTAACTTTGGAAAATAAATGATTCGAGATGTTGTTGTTCGTTTGTTTGGTGTTACGTCGCAACAACACAATATAAGTCATATGGTGCCTAAACAGAAAATATGATCTCTCAGAAACACCAGGGATCAAAACACCCAACCTGCTGGAGCTAGGCGATGCATAGACCCAAGTTATACAATCCTATTTGGTCGCCTCTGACGATCACACATTGATAAGAAGTGGCTTCAATTATGATGACTCAATCATTTAAGACAACTCCTTAGCAACAAAGGGGAATGATGCGAAAAAAATTATACAAAGCAACTTGAAATCGAATTTTAAGTTATAACGCCATAATTTGTTCTCAGTAAGCATTCCTTCAAGCAACATTCTAAAGATATTAATAAATAAGCAGGAATTTTCTTTGTTTTCAAGATTGTCATGTCTGGTGCACAGATAGTGTGACATCATTAGTTGTGTTAATATTCGTACATGTTTTTTCATCAGGATTACACAGACTTCAAGACTTATAAACTTCAACTAATAATTACACACCTCCTCTATTGTTTGTGACAGGTCTATATTTTTTGGATAGACCAGTTTACACAAAAGAAAATCCGTTATGAGGTCTATCTTTTGCACTTACATTTCTGTCAAGGGGATCCTTCACAGATGTAGATCCTTCACACATGTAGAAAATTGCGTTTGCAACGGAATCAGACGAAAAGTGTCGAAGCAGTGACTGTGGGGGCCCCGCGCGCGATGCCCATTTTCGTTGATTCGTACTTTAACATGTAATTGTATGTAAAAACACATCGCCCCCACAGCCGCTGCTTCAACACTATCCCCTGATTCCGTTGCGAATGCAATTTTCTACAAGAGTGAAGGATCCTCTTGACAGATATGTAAAGCTCGAAGCCCTAGCCCCAGTGGATCGACCGTAAGAGCTCCGCGCGCGAGGCCCATTTTCGTTGTTTCGTCAATTCACCAACAGGAGGAAAGATCCCTCTGTACTCACATTCAATCGCAGCTCTTGTGCACCTGATTAGAACAGAATTTTAACGCATTTATTCTATCTTGCTTGATGTCATTGGAACTTGCATTATGCTTTATTCCATCTTGCTTTATGATATTTAAACTTTGCGTTATGCTTGATTCCATTTTGCATTATTCAATTCAAACGTGCGTGGATTGAGTGATAACTATTGAACTTGCACAAGCCATTTATCGTACTGTTTGAAATATTAAAATCTTAACGTCATATATACCTTTATCTGAAAGCTACCTTTTTCATGCTCTATACAAACTAGTTACGGTTTATTAGACGGCGCCGTCTAGTAGATATGCATTTGTTCATAAAGCAATGGGGAAAATTTTAGACTTGATTTTGTGCATTTTTTTCTTGGTTAAACAAAATCACATTGTTTTCAAATTTTCTAATAAAATAACATTTCTGATGTACAACATGTCACAGAACTTTTAGGGATTAAAATAAACGTTTAACTGAAGTGATAGTGCCATGTTTGAATATCATATTCTTTTTATAATTATCTAATTTTATCTACCTAATAAATAACGTGCCAATGAGTTAGTCTATAGTCGATCGTTCTAGTCTATTGACGGGAACCAAATTCGGGCAGGGAACAAGAGGTATCATTAAAATACGCAACGGAGATTTTATTGGCGAAACGGACACAGCGGAAATATTTTTAGCAAAACAAGCAGAAAGTGTAATTCATGAAAATAATTAACATTTAAGTTATAAAACAGATCAACTGATTGAAAAAGTACGTTTATTTTAAAATGTATCACAAATGTTTGCAATAGGTTATTTTGAAGGATTCTGTGACTGACGATTGTTCTCTTTCACCTTGATTTTTACTAAATTTAGTGGTCCTATACCTAGATTCTAGGCGAATATGCAATCTTTATTGATTATATATTTATTCATAACTGTATATATCAATTTATTCATAACTATTATTTGATATTACAGACATATGTTTGCTATTTGTAAAATAAGATATAGTTCGTCCTCAAATTCATTCGAACATTATTCTCGGCACATATTGTCTTGAATTCATTTTAAGTTTACCAGTCATTTCAATTTTTCTTGTTATCCAATTTATTTTGCTTCGACCAGACGTTTCAATCATTGTCGCAACAGACAAACATTTCAGACTTTCAGACACATAACAAGAACATGGAGAAAAAAATGATTAGTGCTCCGGATATTCAACTGTAATAGAGAACGATTTTCAATTCAGATTTTGTACATTACCTGTGACTGTTAGCATCATTTGGCGGCGTCTATGATATGCAGCATCAACATTTAACTTGTTTCTTTTTGTAATACCTGTTTGTAGAAATCATTCATAATCGACTTTCTTTTATTCCCAACATACTTTTGTACACCGAAAATTACACGATGGATTCTGTTAAAGTGTGCCTTATATGATTTATCGTTCGCATGGCATGTCGCGGTGATATTTTCCAAGAAGCAGATATAACAAGGCTTGTCAAGATGAAATACGTTGACATAGCTTTAATCGATTCTCAGCAACTCCATTACTGACAAAAAAATTGCCGACATGCCTTTAAACAAACGTTGTCAATACGTCTTTATTATCCCACCAAATAATGATAGAAGACGTCATGTCGCGTAAATATAAGTCGACATGACGGCACATGAGTAATCACGAACACGGCATCTGAGGGGTCAATTCAAGCTTCCATAGTAATGAAGTTTATGGGAATTTCGAAAAGATATGTCAACCTTTTTCATATCGACAAGCCTTGTTATATCTCTGCTTTTTGGAAAAAATCACCACGTCTTAACATCATGGCAGTGTCGGAAAGACCTAATTAATATTCGGAAACTAAACCCCTCCCATGAAACCAAACACTTAATAAATTGAATGGTTCGTCCTTAAAAGAACATTTCGGTAGACACTTGGATAGGTCAATTGTATTTTTAATACAAAATTAGGTATATGTCCGTATATGCTGTGCATTTTGTACATGCGTTTTTATCTAATTAGCAGTTATACCAGACAAATAAGTTTAGTCAGTGCTTGGTTAGCAACGTTTTATATTTTATATACGTGTCACAGGGTGAGAACAAATGTGCATCCTGACCGGGACTCAAACCCTGGTTATCGCGGAATACCGTACCGCGGCTTTCCGGCCGCTTACACATCATCTCCACTAAATACTGAACAGTTCTGAACCGTGACATACGTATATACACTAATCATTAGAATACGTTTGGATCTCGTTGAAAGGACATTTCAGTTTACAGCCAGGTGTACTGAATGGAAGAGTATTAACGCAAAAATTGCATGTTGCTTTCTCTTAACTGCAACTGTTTGTATTTGCGTCTATTGACTCAGCTTCAATGACGAATGTCATAAGGTTGAATGACGCATAGCCGAAAGCCGAATGCAGCAAGCTTAATACGACGCGACATCTGGTGTAATAATATGTGACACCCAAATTATGCTAATACGTGGTGCTACAGTTATATGTCTTTCTAAGTTAATTAAAAACCTTATGACTCAGAAACACATTTTAATTTCTTTAGAATTTTATAATGTTTAAATAAAGTTTTTTTTAGACTGTTAGATACTTGTTATCTCAAGAAAGTAAGGATAAATAA